CCACCCTTCAAACCGAAACACAGCCATGCAAACACAACTGCTTCACGGTAGAAACACGAATGGGACAGAGGTACCCGAGCAATCGACTTTTGTACAAAGTCTCCCTCTGGTGAATAACTTAGTACATAGGGTACCTTATACATTGTATCAAATGGGTGAAGCTGTGGGATGGTAAGCTAGTTGGTGAAATAAAAAGAATATTTTGTTATGAAACTTAAAATGGTTTGCCATTAATGAAAAACAAACACTGTCGCCTATAGGACATTAACGAGACCATGAACATAGTAATGAGTACACTGTAATAATAATAAGAATAATAATTTTTATTTATTTATTTATTTACAAGAAACAGTTTATTTAATAATAATTTATTCATTTATCCTTTACACAGTTTTAAAAGATTAGTATAATTAAATACCTGTGTTAGTAAAATCATGTTTTAGGAAATTGTGCTACTGTAATACTCATTTTGCATACGGACTGAATCCTTAGATTATATAGATAGAGAGAGATACAAATGCTTCGAAAAAAACGGGTCAACTTTTTCATACAATTTTACCTGATAAATAGTTATAAATGTTTTTTTTATAACTTCTATATTTATTTGGTTTTATATTTTTGTATCTTTTTAATGAATAAAAAGTTTTTTATTTATTAAATCATTAAATATAAATACATCAAAATACGAGTACATTATATACGTAAGTAACACTGATAAAAAATCATTTTTTGACAAAAGTTGACCCGTTTTTTAAACTCGATGCTCTATCTATATAATCTAAGATTGAAACATACCTCCTTATTCATAAAAACTGATAAAAAAAAACAAGTAAGCTAATTAACAGTAAAAGTTAACCCGTTTTTGAGACTCTATGCTCTATCTATTGTATATAATCTAAGGTTTGATCATTATGTATTGCAGTTTGATCCATAGGGATCTCTTGTACTTCTTTATAAATTTTTAGACCCAAAACTACATAAAAAATGCTAAAAAGATAGATAAATGGAAACCAAAAATTTACTTAATAATTGTGGTGGAAGGTTTATTAATGCGAACAAAGTTGTGGGCACAGCTGCTAATAAATAAGTCAAAGTAGGCGTATGGTGTAATTCTTGCGATAGATAGGACAAGTTTGCAAGTAGTGGAATTGCGCAGACAAAATTGTTCAACACATTATTACCGGATATTCTAAAGTGTATTTATTTTCTAAAACTGGAACTAGCTTTTAATTTATCCTTATTATTCATAAATGAATGGGTAGTTGAATAGTGTTTTTACTCTGTTAGAGATTTTATGTCGGATTGAAAGGGATTTGTACGTATTATCGTTATATACTCGTATATGACATATCCTACTTATTGATTTCTTTATTTTTATTAGTACACCTCATTTTTATTTTTGACCATCTGATATCCAATTGTTATTTATTTTTCCTATTTAAACTAGTGGACTGAATAAATTAAATTGTATTCCTTAATATTTTATTAATTAAATACAAAAAAAAAAACTTGTTATTTTATTATTATATAATTTTCGTAATGTTTAAATGCTACAAAATTTTTTAAAATTAAATCATTGTAATTTTTGTTTTCAATATTTGCACGCTTGACCTAAGAAGATTTTGTAAGGTACTTTTAATTTATAAGATCAAATGTTTTATACCCAAAATCATTGCAAATAAAGTTATTATTATTATAAAAAACATGATACAAGTTAATATCCACTGAATCATGCCGATATTTGATTTGAGGCAACATTTAAGTAACATGAATACGAGATGATTTTAAATGAATAATAAAGATCAAAACAAAGCTTGTTTCCTATATAATTATGTAATAGAAAATAAAAAATACGCTATGCAATTTCTGAGGACTAAGACATCATGTACGTACTCCGTGATTTGCACTGCCATGTTTCGTCCTTCAAACATTACCACAGCCATAAAAGCACAGCGGTATAGAAGATTTAACACGTAGTGTACATTGTAATAAACGAAAAAAGATGGACATTTGTTATTGTAACACTTACAAAAAAAAAAAAAGAAATAAATGAATTTCTCTTCAAGATTCTGGTAACATTAATAACAACAATACCTACGTTATTCTAGTCCGTGATCATTAACTAAACAACTTATAATGTTATGTGAAGTGTCAATTGTTTTCTGATGACGTCAAGACATGTCATTACGTATGTATGTACCTGTTATAACATTTTAAATACGACACGTAAGTTACGTGCCCTTTAATTTTGCTCCTCGAAAAAAAAAAGTAGCGTCTTCGACTGCGAACATATAGAAACCCCCTACGCACAGATATATATATGTTTAGTAAATACATTAGATTGACATTATTTGAATTTGGAATGCGGAATGATGTGTTTTGATATAGACTTTGCTCTTAACAAGTATTTTTTGCTCCGCAAAGGAAAACAGAAGCTTGAAGCTTCTGTTTACTCTTCGTTACAGAATTAACTTAGGGTCAATACAGGAGCAATCCATATTGATTGCAATATATATAAAACTTAGTTTAAAATTGTTGATATAATAGCCTACATATATATCAGGAATGCTTTCCAGGATTAAAATCCATATGACAGAATTGCTAGATAAGAATTTTGACTGTTATATTTTTTTTTTCTCCAAATCGATACGACTTTCAGGAGTTTTACCCAATCACAAACTTCTATATGCATCAGTATATCTACGTAGGTCATGCACCATGCGTTTCGAGAAAAAAAAAAAAACTAGGATATCGCATAAGAATAACGACTGCAGATTATTTATTTTAATAGTTATCGTACAATTATGGAATTTGCCTTGACGACAAAGAAGAACAGAAAAGGTATTGACCTAGAAAAAAAAAAGTAAACGGTGCATATTTTCTTTTTTTTTTTATTGTTTGTTAGTGGCTTAATGGCTTAATCTATCGTCATAAAGTTTGGTGTACACAAACCATTTGGGATGAAAAAAATTGTGTGCTACTAAAAAGTAGTAGTGGGATAAAAATCCCACTTAATTAATATGTAATATAAACTAGTGAAATCTTACCAATATAATAAAATTGTAACTAGAGTATGTTATGTATAGTAGATATAAAATAAAAATGAATAGTGAAATAAAAATATAATTAATATATACAATAATATATTATAATTATTATAAAATTAATGTTATATATAAATAAGGGTCTTAATAACGGCAATAGAAATCAAAATAAATATTTTTGGAAATTTTGTGACATGCAAAAACTACTGTACCAAATTGGATGCACTATCCACAGTTGTATTTTTGATGGTCTAACTTCAAATCTGACATATGGTTCATTTTGATTTAATTTATTTAATTGGTCTTTCTCAGTGCTTTGCTCTTTTGGGGGCGAACCAATAAACTGAGTTGTGGCCATTTTGTATTGCTATGGCACACTCACAAACGAAAATTGTATTTAGCTTTATGTATTTTTTTTATCATTTATGTTATCTCGCCTTTTTTTGTATATCTATGTTGTAATTTGTGTGCTGAAAGTAATGCAAATAAATTATCTATCTATCTATCTATCTTTCTGCTTCTGAAATCCATGCGTACGAAGTAGTGGGCAAAAGATTATTAAAAATGTGAAACATGAAATGTTTATATATTAGAATATTTGTATTTAGTTACGCTTAAACAGCTGAACAGTTTTATATAAAGTTTGATCCAGAGAATAAACTGTATAGTGTAAAGTATATCAAAACAGTTTTCTTTGTTTCTATGGTCACAGGTGAAATGAGTGATGGGAATAATTTAAAAATCATAAAAAACAATAGTGAAAAAACCAGTTATTGGTGTTTTTTAACAAATTTGTAAGTATATCTTTTCAGATAAAAAAAAAAACAAGAAATTTCCAAATCGGTTTACAACTGACGGAGTTATGAGATAATATCTTGTGAAAAAAAATACAATCGAATTGAGAACTTCCTACTTTCTGAATTCGGTTCAAAATGGTTAAGACTTAAAAGGATTCTTATGTTTTTAGAATAAGGTTAAATAAAACATTGCTATCGCGAACAAATAATACACATCCATCTGAGGATACACGGGAAATCCTGTTATTGTAATTTTAAGTTTACCAATGACGTTATGCTTTTTCAAATGGACATTTGTTCTACGACTTTATGTTTTATTATTTATTTCTGTTTATTTAAAGCTTAGAGTTGGTATATTTGAAAATAATTAGTATCCTCAGGATAGTGAAACTCAACATTTTCTGCTAAAAAAACATGGGTAGAAAAACTACATACAAATTTTTTACATGTTATGCATTTTTAATTTTTTTTTTGTATTATATCAAGTTAGTATTTCCAGACTATGTACAGTTTGAAATCATTAGTATAAATATTTCTCCAAAGAAAATCGGACATTTTTTACAAAATGCCATAAAACAATTCAGATTATGTTCCATAAAAAATAAAACGGTTTCAATTGTTGCGTTAAATTAAAAACTAAACTACTAAACCGATTTCGATAAAATTTCTATGAGACCGTTATCTGTAAGTATATCTTATCAGACAAAAAAGAAAATTTTCAAATCGATTTACAACCGACGAAGTTATGAGGTAATAAACATAAAAAAATACAACCGAATTTCGAATCTCCGTCTTTTTGAAGTCGGTAGAAAATAAAAAAACGGAGAAATATAAGAAATACATAATAATTTAGTATTATGATTCTAAGAATTTTTGTAAAATTACCTTCATCAAAACAGATATGAGACAGTTCTTCTCTTTTTCTTATATTTATAGTTCTGATTGATAAATTAGAACTATAATACAATAAATTTCCAATAAATTCCTAAATTAATCTATTTCATGTTTAAATTTATAAAAATGTACAAATCACTAAATAATTATTTTAAAATCAGAACTTAAATATTATAAATAAAATTTAAAAGCGAACTTAAAATAAAATTATAGGAAATCTTTTAATTTACGTTCGTTTTAATTTATATTTAATACAGAAACTTACTTCTCCGGCGGCGCGTGTACAATCCGTATTAGTGATAATTATGCACGCGTGCAGATACCACCACTGTTGGTCCCGAACTAAGAATGAGACGTCATCTTGCGACAGATCTCAGGTACCACAGCGACCTTGGTGTCTTGCTTGCGCCATGATAAACACGAGTACTACATCATTTAGACTTTTACCCGATACTAAATGAGCTAATAATTTTTGTTCTAAATTTAAAAGGGCCACAATAGTTTTCTCCAAATACGAGTAAGATTGACCCAAAATCATTTAAACTAGAATGATACCTAAATGTACGATATGAGTACCTTAAAAGTCAATTAGGCTGGATTTTGGATTAGATAGATTTTTTTAATGAGTGATGATGAAATGTTGACCCCGCTTGCCCTATCGGTGTATGTTGGTGGTACCAGTGAGCAATACTGGGGCAGAATGAAATCAGGTCAGTTGGGCCATTGTGATAAATTCACCAGAAATTAATCGTTTCCAAAAGGGATCGCATAGAGGGCGCTCTGATAGAGTATATTGTTAGCACTGGGATCTATAAAGTTAAAAAAGAAAACTATAAACTCTTATGGTAAGTATTGCATCATTTAGAGTTTACGCTAAACAAAGTCATCAATATTGGCTTCTTATTCAAAATGGCTAAGTTTACTCCAAGTTTTAGTGAAGGGGAAGGGATTGCCAGTAATGCGAAGAACCAATCCTACTGCTAACAATATACACTCTGTAAGGTTGACCTCCACGTGTTTCCTCTTGAAAACCGTCGTGCTGAATTCCAGGTGTATTCATCATGATAGGCTAATTGACCTGCCTTTTCATTCTCACCTATCATCCCTCACTGGCGCCCCGCCAGCGTATACCGTTAAACATTTTACTATTAAACATTAAAAAAAATCAAATTATTAGTTATTACTAACTTTTAAAAGTCACCGAAAAAAATAACATAATCCAAACTTAAATAACTTAGATATGAGTTTATTTCTTAGTACCTTATTAGAACTAACGTCGGATGCAGTTAAATTATTATACTAGCACTGTACTTTATTAATCAATAATAATATATATATATATATATATATATATATATATATATATATATATATATATATATATATATATATATATATATATAATAGTGTACACACTATATACTATATATTTCAATATTTTAAGAGGTAAAGTTTGTGAGTTTAGATGTTCGGGGTAAACTCCGGTACTACTATTTTGACTCCTTTTACTGTTAGAAAAGTGTATTACCCTTGAGTGCTATAGACTGCATTTTATTTTCCTAAATATATATATTTGATAAATTAATATAGGTAATAGATATGTATAATTGGAGACGGGAGTAAATTTACAATATGACGTGCGCTACCTGAACTAGTTGAAATAAAGAATAAATATTCATTACGTTTAGCTTTATAAAAAAGTCCACGACACCATATATCTAAGTTTAATATCTCAGTCAAAAACATAGTTTTTATATTGAGAGTAAAATAAATTTTACAAGCCGTTTATTTTAATTTTTACACACGCTCAAATATCAGTCTTACTAAAATGTGTTGAACAGTTTAAATCTTGTACAAAGAAATATTGTACCCATGCGAAGCCGGGGCAGGTCGCTAGTTATACATATATAGACACGTTAGGATATTTATTGGCACTTTTATGTTCTTATTCATAAAAACCTCAAACGTCTCATAAATCTATTTTAGCTATTCTCTGAAAATCAGAACTGTTCTGTCTCTTTTTTTGTACTAAATTTCCAATTTAAAATAAGGTGATAAAACACTGTAATAATTAATAAAGGCTTATACAAGTTTTTGTTTTTATGAATACATAGATAAGTGTATAAAATCCACAAAAAAATAATGAAAAGAAATATATAATAAATAATAAATGTATAAAAATTATAACATTTTAAGATGTTACTTTATTCGATATTATTTTATAGGAGTTATACTCCAGGCCGGATGGAAAAGGGTTTTAATTAACAAAATTATACTTTTCATACCAATTAACCACATTTTCATGCGCAATTAGGCACGTGATTAATTTGCGACTTCCAATACTGCGTAACAAGAGGTTCGCTCCAGTTGTAGCAATGCAGTAGCTAAATGTCATGACTGAGCAAGTGGACTAAACGCTCGACTGGACAGCAGTTTGCAAATATTTTAGCTATTGATGTTATTTGGACTTGAATTTATTTTTTACGTTATGTGGTGTGGCGATTATTTAGTAATAGGTTTCATAGTGCTGTTCATAGAAATAGGCTGTAGTTAGCGCTTTCTGTTATTACCGTCGATTTGTTTGTAAATCTTAGTTGTATAACAAAAATTAACATGATCTAAACCGTCTTTCAAAAAAAGCGTTCACGCTCACTTTTTATTTTTATCCGAGCAGTAAGTGCTTTATATTATTCTTAATTTCGTGTATAATATAGTATATATCATATATGTGTAAGTATATTTGTTATTCATATATATTTATTAGTTTATATATGTAATTTTTAGTGTGTATGTATATCAATAATTAGTAGTACCGCATTCGAGTATTCTGACACTTCCCTATGGTTGACTGGGAGAGAATGCTTTTAGCATTAAGTCCGCCATGTACACATATTTGTACTAATGAATAAATAAAATAAAATAATTATCTTAAAAATCAATAGTTAGTTGCTTTGTTAATTGTTTTCTATCTGTTTTATATATTCGTAATAGACGAAGTATGAACAGATTAATAAATGTGGAAACGAAAGTGGTCTGTTAGAACCGCAGTATTTGACGTTCCATTGCTTCTATCTCAATGAGAGTTAACATACATAAAGTAGGCATATAAATTATAGCTACATTTAATGCGTTATCACTTTATACATTTTTTTTCACTGTGATCTCATCAGTGATAAATTACACGATGTGATTTTCGCTCGCAATGACTTAATATCGCACTAGCTACTATTTGCTGTTGAAAGTGAAATATGAATTGTGATTTTTATGACTTTGAACTAGTGTTGTGAAGTCTCTATTTGGTCGCTCTGTATGATTTCATTTCATTGCCAATCGAGCTTAGTCGATGACTTACGAATTAATCCGAATCACAGCGACTATCTGCCATTTAGATTTATTGTAATTTGTAACACTCTGTGAAGCGACATAGTTTTAATGACTTATGATTCGGCGTAGCATATTAAATTTTACCTGTGCATAAATCATGACGTATATATTAAAAAGAGTCTAGTTTCTCTATTTTTTCTCTAAATACTTATAGTTTATTGTCTTCATCTTCTGCCTTTATTATCTCTTGTTACATATGTATGCTATTATAACTATGTATATATAGATTTATCTATGCGTATATGTATTTGTATGTTACAGTGCATTATCTGTCTTTACTATTTTGTTTTCAATATTATTTACCCAAAGATTAGGAAGAGAACACTTTTTATATCACTAGGTCTAAGTTATTTATAGTAATAAATCGTTTTGTATGGTACAAAGTGTAATTAAATAAATAAATATACCTAAAAATGTTAATACGAAAGGTAAATATATTAGTATATGTCTATAAATATGAGTATATGGAAACATCACCTCATAATATAACGTAAACATTATGTTGATTCCAAATAATGATGGAAGGTCAAGCCAGTAAAATGTATGACAATAGATTACTAAATAGCTTATGAAATTTGCAATTTTATAACCAAATATTGTATGTTTAAACTAAACAATAATTAAGATAAGAATATAAAAGAAAACCAATATAAAAAAGATAGTATTTAATAGTAAAAAAAAAAATCTTAACGAAAACACAAAACAAAGTTTATAACATATCTACAATGAACGCAGTATGCCTTGAGCAATAACTTTGGTTGACAATAAAACAATTTATAATAAGAATTAAACAAGTGGTAACCGATGAAGCGACAGTAAAAGACGCTAAGAACAGTACCTCATCAAGGAGTCAATAGAAATATATTCTTTTAAATCGTTATATGTTTATTTATACAATACAAACATAAGTGATATTACATGCCACAAAGTTGTAACTAGAGATATTTAAATGCAAATACAATGTATCAGAAATTACTTTAACACCTTCCATAATGTTAAAACAATATGACAGACTATGATTACGGGTATAGACTAAAAACAAATTATGAATAATAGTGTCAATTCAATTTGTTATTATGGATAATTCCATTTTTATATGTAACATTATTTTATTATAATTTTTATGTTTTGTTTATGAAAATCGAATAAAGTATCTAATTAACGTAAACTTTTGAATATTAATATGATAATTTTTAACAGCAAGATAGTAGAAATGTTATTATTTGTCCAAATTCCAAGTAGTACTTATTGAAGTTAATAACATACCAAAAGAAAGAATTCTATAGACACTTGTAAACCAATCATTAACGATGATGAGGTACTCTAACCTATTCTGAGTCTGACAAGTGACAAATATAACAATTATGAATACGTTTACATTTCGCTCATTGGCGTAAACAATCACTTTTAGCAAATTTAACAGCGAATTAAAAATTCTGCTAATATCACATGTGTTCTAATGAGATATAAAACACACGGTGTCGTTACTTCCTGTATGATTGATAGAGTAAACATATTTATCATTGATATTACGCGTCACTTGTACCTATAGACTGTCTTGAGATCAGTCAATAACTAATTGACGGAAGGATCCATCTATGCCAAACAGTTCATCATAGTTGGTAGGCTTTCCTGGTCTTAACTCTTCGTTGGCCTTCAACTTCTCTTGTTCTGCGAACCATGGTGTGTATTCTTCTAATTTCTTCACCCAAGCCTCTGCAATAAGATTATTCATCATTATTATAGGCGTTACATCTATGGTTAAATTTTAAATATATGATTGGGCCTTATCGCGACGCGATTACAGGTAAATAGTATCTACCTATACCTGATTATTATTGCTGACGTTTTTATTTGGACTGTACCACGTCGTGGTTACGGGAAGACTGCAGTGAATAGTGTGTAGGGTGGACATAGACAACTTAATAATGTAACGGTGGCCGGAGAAACTGAGCAGGTTGCCAGTAGGAGACGCCGCGCCGTTCATTTTAATCTTCGTCGAAACGTCGGCGATAAAAATTAGATATGTAGGTATTAGTTATGTCGCGTTAAGTCTCAATTGTGAATTTAAAATATATATAAACAATGCCAAAGTTTAATTATGTTTAAATTGTCTTCAAAAATAATGATTTTGATTAATTTGGCCTTTGATAATATATGAATTGACAGTTCAAAACTATTACAACTCAGGTATTTTTTTTTATGGGACATGATTTATAATATATATAATTTGCAATGTCAAACAAGTTGATGCCCATTTTATTTCTATTACTCACGTATGTATAGATTTGGAGACGAAACAAAGGATCTTAAAATATAACTGTTGGGAACTTCAATATTATTTTACAAATATTATTATAATACATTGCTTACAATTCAAACATCTTGGGTAAAGCAAATAAGACCATATGATGCAGAATACTTGATTTGTGACACTAAATATATATTTGTCCCTGTAGTTAGGTAAGTAAACATTAAGATTTTTAAAGAACATCTATATTACTGGTTATTTGATAATTTTTTTTTTGTTTAATTCTGCTACCTTTTTGTTCATGTATGTTTATACCCAATCTGTGAATTATTTATGCAACATTAACCGTCAAACGGTTAACACCAGGCTCCGAGCAATGACCTAATAATAATTTGCCCGAAGATGCCTCATTTAGAAGTGAAACACGTGTTGCAAAACGTGCGTGAACAAAATGACAGTCGAAGATTAATAGCTAATATGGAAGGCTGTGAAAACTCTGGTAGTAATAGTGGTGGTCAATCTTCGAGTGTTGGCAGTCACACATATACTAATGGTAGTGGAATTAAACAAAATAATTCTAATTAAATAACCAGTGATATAGACCTTTTTAAAGGTATTCGCGAGTACTGTAAATTTTTGTTTCACTTAGTCCTCCAACTGGGACTCTCCAACAAACATGCTGTGTTATGAGAAACCAGATAAAAGAAAATCTGGAGGCATCACCCAGAACAGAAGTTATTCACCTGATTTCAATAAGAAGGAAGTTTTCATTTCTGTTTGATTTATTTTTTATATTAGATCATAACTCAACTAGCATCGTAATTGATTTGTAAAATCCTTTTTTGTTTGAAAGGATATATACATTTAGAGATTGGTTCCATAAAAATATTTTCAAAATTGGTTCAGGAGTTTAGTTTTTACAACAAAATAACTAATTTAAGTTGATGTTTTTTGTAGAAATGTGTTAAATCATTTTTTTAGTGTAAACAGAGTATTACGAGTCGAATAGAATATGTATATGTATACATATATGTTTTGTTTCAATAGAATTTAATGAAAATATAAACAAACCAATGGTTATTCTTAATACATAAGATATATAAATCAGTCTATTGAAGTCCAATAGTAGTAAGAGTACTAATAATTCAAAAAGTTGTGTTTCACAAAAATAACTGACTTCAATCGTGACAAATTTAATTATTTTGAATAAAAAATCGAGTTATATTGATTTGAAAATTAGACTACTCAATAAATTTTGATGAAATTTCTATGAGACCAAACTAAAAGTACATCTTTTGACATAAAAAAAATTCAAATTTTGTTTTTGACTAATGGTGTTGTAAGATAACAAACAGAAAAAATACAACCGAACCGAGAACCTCCTCATTTTTATTTTTTATTTATTTATTCTTTATTGACCACATTACAAAAAGATGTCTGGTACAAAAGGCGGACTTAATACTATATAGAATTCTCTCCCAGTCAACCTTTGACAAAACAAAAACCTTTGTTTGAAATTGGATTAATTGATTGAATTAATCCAGTTTCAAACAAAGGTTTTTCGATTTGTTATTAAAATTATTTTGAGCGTTTCTGTATTAATTTTAATAAAACTTGGTTACAAAGGTAATATAATATAATAAAGGTAGTTTAATTAACTAAAAGTTATTATTATTATTTCAGCCCTTAATGTCCACTGCTGAACATAAGCCTTCCTCATAAGGGGAGTTTTGTTAGTAATTGTCATTAAGTGAAAGAAATAATTAAGTTTAATTGATTAAAAGTTATTAAGTTTAAATGATTAAAAGCCATTAAGTTTAATTGATTAAAAGTCATTAAGTTTAATTGATTAAAAGTCATTAAGTTTAATTAATTAAAAGTCATTAAGTCCTGTTAAAACAAATTATTTGCTATAATATTTTGTATATAACTTACTGTGGAGGTCAGCCATTGTGCCAGCGTTACCACCAAACTCAGCTGGAAGCATTTCTTTAGGTACGTATTTGTATAATTCATTGGGATCCGAGTGAAGGAAGATCTGGAATACACAATTTGTAAACGTTTACTGTCAATGTTGCATTAAGTCTGTCTTTAAAATCATATACTACTCGTATGAATGCTTAATAAAGTTATCTTCTCTTACTATTTTTATTTCTTAGCTTATCTTAATAAATAATAAACTTAATGATGTCTGTACATGGAAGATATAGTGAAAAAATTTATGTAAATGATTTCTAAAGGAGAGATAGAAACCAAAACAATATTTTTTTTAAAAATGATGTATGTCGGTCTGTTTCTTTAAATCTTCTTATGTGTTCCAATTTACAACCTTTGAAGGAAAGGCATTTTGTTAGTAATGGGAATCTAACAGCCCCATTTCTAGCAATATACTAGCAATTCTTGACTTTTACGTGGTTCGTTTTGTAAGCCACCGTGCTTAATTCTTGTAGAATACATAACTTACTGGTGTTTCACCAGTGTATATTGATAGAACAGGTGGGGATTACCACTTCATTATCACACATTAAAGATCTAAAATCTTCTAGAAATCTATACAAAAGTATGTAGTACTAAATAGCATGGGCAAAGAACTGTATAAGGTTCATTCAACTCATTGTTGACAGAATATTGCTCCTACAAAATTTTGATATACCTACCATAATTGGTCAAATTATTATAAACGAGAGGGAGACTTTACAAAAATTATATGCTTGGATCTATCTTACCGTGAAGCAGTTGTGTTTACATGTCTGTGTTTCGGTTTAAATATTAGGATATGGTAATGAAATTACAAGGTACAGAGGCATAACACCTAAGTCCTCAGGCATGGCAACGTATAAAGAGTAACGTAGGCGTTATGTCTATAACACTGTTCATGTCTATAGGCGTCGGTTGCCACTTTCCATCAGGTGGGTCGTCAGCTTGTTTCCCATTCTAAGTTGCATAAAAAAGTCTTACCCTGTCTTTGATCTTGTCCTTGATGAATGGTTTTACGAAATTGACAATCTTGTCCACTAGTGGAGATATGTTGATGACATGCACCTCCTTTAGTTTTACTGGATATGCTTCCTGTTGATCATTAATGATTGTATAAATGTGGATCCTTTAATTAATATTATAAATATGAAAGTAAATTTATTTATTTGTTACCTCCTAACGCCTTAACCAATCATTATGAAATTTGGTATGTACCTATACATGTACTACACGTGATAGAAAAGGATATATGTTCCTTTTTATGCCGGTTAGTAATTATATCTCGGTTACGCGGACGAAGTCGCGTGTAAAAGCTAGTACTTATATAAATCAATAAATGTACTTATTGACTAGTTTTTACCCTCGACTTAGTTCGTACTATCGGGATGTATTAATTGATTTAAATATAAAGTAGCCTATATCTTTCCCCATCTTAAATACAATGTGTAAGAATTATTTCAACCGTAAAGCAGTTGTGTTTGCATGGCTGTGTTTCGGTTTGAAGGGTGGGATATGGCGTAAATTTACAGGGTACAAAGGAATAACACCTGAGTCCTTAGGAATGGCAATGCATGCGGGGTATCATGGGCGAAACAGTATACTCTGTTATGGCCATGGTACTGCTCATGTCTATAGACGACAGTTACCACTTTCCATCAGGTAGGCCATTAGCTTGTTTGCCATTCTAAGTTGTACAATATATATATATATATATATCGAATTTTGTGGCAATTAGTCGATCTGCTAAGGCGCCGAAAGGTAATAACATACAAACTCCACGTCTTTATTAGCAAAAATCTATCTAGGCAATTCTTTTTTGTTATTGGGCCAATATTAAGATATTGTAACTAAAATATATAGACAGATATTTGTATATATTATCCAATTTTACTTATGAAACTTTTCACAATATTTTATACCAACCTGTACACAAACTAAAAACTTCTTCACCAATGTTGGGGTGAATTTGGCGAAATGCGTAGGTGTAGCCACTGACGCATCCAAGACGTAGACATCGCCAGCAACGCCTTCCTTCTCTTCTGCCAACCTCACATCACCAAGCATCAAAGCCAGCTTGAAGGCGTCAGCAACGTTTGGTGTTTGCACATCTTTGTCGAGACCTGGGAAAAATCGGCTCTTAGCTCTTCTGTAAGGCAATCTTTTTTTATACAACTTAGAATGGCAAACAAGCTAACGGCCTACCTGATGGAAAGTGGTAACCGTCGCCTATAGATATGAGCAGTACCATGGCCATAACAGAGTATACTGTTTCGCCCATGATATCCCCCATGCGTTGCCATTCCCGAGGACTCAGGTGTTATTCTTCTGTACCCAGTAAATTCACCCCATATCCCACCTTTCAAACCGAAACACAGCCATGCAAACACAACTGCTTCACGGTTGAAACACGAATGGGACAGAGGTACCCAAGCAATCGACTTATGTACAAAGTCTCCCTCTGGTCAATAAAAACATGATTAAAAATACTCAATGACTATCCGGGATACTTCTCCCGGAAATTAGCGTAAATGAATAGAAACTCTTTATTGTTACCTTTAAAAAATGACCCAGGTTATAAAGATTGACAATATGTACGTAAACAAAATTACATGAAAGCAAGATAAAGAGACAGCAAAGTTCCTGAGTTCCTGGTATCTAGATTAATAATAATAATAATAAAGGCCACTAAATCAAACCAATTGTCTAGTCCTCAAGCCAGGACACCTTTTTTATGTGAAATCAGAGCACTCGAATCGTAGCCAATGCAGAAAAGATCATTCCAAAATTGACTCGACCGGGAATCGAACACGGGACCTTATTTACACAAAGCAATATGCCCACCAACGTTCTATGTTAAATATTAGTAGTCCCATAATGGAATAATTGATATTTGGTACCCCGTCAGCGGATACCAATAGCGCAGACGGGGTTACCATTCTATTTTTATTTATAGTAAAAAAATTGCTTGATGTTAAATAAATTTATATACGAATATATACGAAACTTCGATAATAGTCACTTATAAATATCTGCATATTTTTAGAATGGAATAGAATAAAGGGAATCGTCAATTAAATACGATCGTACTGCTGGGTTCGGGATGCTGTTATCTGCTTAGAAGAACCCGCAAGAAACTTAAGTCTTTAATTATATACAAGGTGATTTTATATTTAAATTCAGTTCTATTATAAGTATTATTAAATGGAAAATAAACAAGCAAACATGAACACAGCAGTCTATGCAAACAGCACCCGTTCACGAGTATGACGGATGAGCCAGCTATCATTGCTCTCTACTATGTTTTAGGGAACTCAACGACCCGGCACATTGCTTCGCGACTAAGTGGCGTGAATTTACAGGGTACAGAGGAATAACACCTGAGTCCTCAGGAATGGCAACGCATGAGGGGTATCATGGGCGAAACAGTATACTCTGTTATGTCCACGGTACTGCTCATGTCTATAGGCGATGGTTACCACTTTTCATCAGGTGGGCCGTCAGCTTGTTTGCCATTCTAAGTTGTAAAAAAAAAAACTTTATAGTGACTATTATTATTAACACTTGTAAATTATAATAACAATAAAATATATATTACGTCTCATTCAATGTTAAAAGATAATAAATACAGTAATACCTAAAACAATACCATAGAACGAGATAGAAGATATTTTTCAATGATATTACCTCTCATGACGGTCACCCGTCGACCCTCAGGCGTAAGACCGGGTAGGGGTGGCATATGGCTGGAAAATAAAATATTTCAATTTGAAAATTAATTTGTCTTTATTCAAATAGACTTGTTTATAAGCACTTTTAAATTGTTATTCTTTACTAGTAGCCCGTCCCAGCTTCGAACAGATGGAAATTTTTGCATTTTAAAAAGTGGCCATTAAGACTGCACACGCGACGGAAGCTTAAAAATGGAGTAACTTCTCCCGTTTTCCCTTCACTGCTGTGCTTCTATTGATCGTAGCGTGATGAAAAGTATACTATAACCTGCCCAGGAGTATGAATAATAATTGTACCAAGTTTCGTTAAAATTCGTCGAGTAGTTTTTGTTTCTATAACGAACATACAGACAGACAGATAGACAAAAATTTCACTGATTGCATTTTTGGCATCAGTATCGATCAGTAATCATCCCCTGCTAGTTATTTTGGAAATATATTTCATGTACAAAATTGACCTCTCTACAGATTTATTATAAGTATAGATGGATGAATGCAAGGTTTGGAAAGTTGTTATCTATTGAGAAGAAGTCGCAAGAAACTCAACAGTTACTTTTCTTAAGTACACTATCGGGACTTAACGAGATGAAAAATTTTGAAGGTAAGTAGTACTTTACTATATTGTACTACATACCTGTTTCTTTACTGCCGACATTTCCCGATAATGTACTTAAAATGTGTGTAAACAACGCGAAAGTTTAAAATTAACAAATTATTTTTTTTATATCTCTGTAAATTTTTTTTTTCTTTTGATGGGTGAAAATGGTATGGTAACCCCGCCTGCGCTAACGGGATACGCTGGCGGAGCACCAGTGAAGGGTGATAGATGAGAATGAAAACAGGCCAGTTAGCCCATCATGATGAATTCATCAGGAATTAACCATGATAGTCCAGGGAGAACCGCGAGGAGGTCGACCTGGTTGGGTATATTGCTAGCAATGGGATCTCAGTCTCCATTACTAACAATTCTTTTCCCCCCTCTCTGTTTATATTGTGCGTATTTATTTAAATGTCAAAATTACACAGCCCTCTGACTCTATGCACGTTTGTTATTGGAGTAATCGTTTAGTGTGTAATAGGCATTGTTCAATAAGTATTTCTTAATAACAGTATTAAATTTATTAAAAAGTAGATACAAAATATCCTTTGGCATTTTTTTTTTATACAACTTAGAATGGCAAACAAGCTGACGGGCCGTCAGCTTGTTTGCCATTCTAACTGATGGAAAGTGCCATGGACATAACAAAGTATACTGGTTATACCCCCCATGATACCCCTATGCGTTGCCATTCCTGAGGACTCAGGTGTTATTCCTCTGTACCCAGTAAATTCACGCCATATCCCATCCTTCAAACCGAAACACAGCCATGCAAACACAACTGCTTCACGGTTGAAACACGAATGGGACAGAGGTACCCAAGCAATCGACTTTTGTACAAAGTCTCCCTCTGGTATCCAGACGGTTGTAACTGAACATATAGGGTCTTTTTTAAAAGATGATAATGAAGTAACCGCCTAGATGACGATGATGAAGTCTGTTGGGCCATCGTGATAAATTTCCCAGGAATTAATTACGATGGTACCCATGGGGATCGCGTGGAGGTTCTTCTGAGAGTATATTGCTAGCAATGGGGCCACCTAGACCCAATTTATTAATACGTGTATGGCCAATGTAAGAATGAATGTTATAAGCATTCATTATCGTAACATATCATATATTCTCAACCTTTAATTGTAAACTGTTGAACATATTGGAGCCTCCCACCTGTTGAGCCGTTTGCTAGTAGTTGTCAAGTTTGGCAGATGGGTTACCAATCGTAGTTAGGCTTCGGTGATGTTTAAAGAGTGACGCTGCTGCCCATCCCTCGACCATTAATTGCACTTAGTCGCCTCTTACGAAACCCACGGGAATGAAAAGGTTGGCCCATAGTATTCTTAGTATTGGCTTGAATTATGAGTACATTATGTAGAATTACACTTGATATAAATTATGTGACAGGGATATTGTTGGTAAACTGGGATATTTTTTATGCCCAAACTAATTTATATTCTTTTCTATCTAAAATACTGTATGTATGATAAACTTCATGATGATTGGTTCAGCCATTAACGCGTTAAGAGGTAATAAACAAAGTGACTTTCGTATTTGCAAGATTATTAAGAAATTTATTTATATATCTTTACTATTTTTCTGCTTGCTACTTCGTATGCATGGATTTCAGAAGTTGGTAAACCAGTGAAACAGACCATTTCAAGATAAAACATATCAGATTCTAAGTTCGTCTAACTTAGAATCTGAGTTCTATGTTAAAATCTAAATCTGATTCAGAAACACAATTATGAAAACCGTATAATAATTTGGTGCAATAGTTTTTTCATGATGCCGGAACAAACATACAAAGGGACAAACAAAATTTCTAAAAAAAATATTGTTTTGGTATCTATTGATTTAATATTATTTTTTTCTTAAATATTAACTATGTACAGACATCGTTTAGTAATAATTTTATAATATAAGTAAGTAATAGTAGTTTTGACTAAAGAAATTAACTGTATTGACGTATTATAAATTTGACAATGAGTGACAGACAAATAATTGCATTATAATAATAGTTTATTTACTATCTACATGTTTAAATATTTATTAATGTCATATTTAAGAGATTTTCAAATGATTTACATATATGTGTTTATTATATATTTATTATATAATTTATATTTTCTATAATACTTCAAATGGCTAATAAGCTAATGGGCCATTTGATGGAAAGTGGTAACCGTCCTCTATGTATACTAAAAACACTATGAACGTCACAGAATATACTGTGATTCCTATGGCATCCCACATAAGTTATTATTAATGAGGACTATAATGTTATTGACAAATTTAGTGTTTCTAATGTACTTTTCTAAACTAAGTATATTATAATGAAGAATGCTCAGACTTTTTCTTCAAAATTGAATAAATTTGATCTTTCGCCTTTATAATATTCTTAGTTGGTAAATTTCTTTGTTTGTAATAGTAAAAATAATAGTTAACATTTATTTAACAATAACATTATTAACGTTTAACATGAGCTGTATTTTATTTTATAAATTCAACGGTGAAGCAGTTATGTTTCGGTTTGAAGTGTGGGATATGGCAGTGAATTTTTTTTTTTATACAACTTAGAATGGCAAACAAGCTGACAGTTACCTGATGGAAAGTGGTAACCGTCGCCTATAGACATGAATAGTAGTATCATGGACATAACAGAGTATACTGTTTCGCCCATGATACCCCCCATGTGTTGCCATTCCTGAGGACTCAGGTGTTATTTCTCTGTACCCTGTAAATTCACGCCATATCCCACCCTTCTAACTGAAACACAGCTATGCAGACACAACTGCTTTACGGTTGAAACACGAACGAGACAGAGGTACCCAAGCAATCGACTTTTGTACAAAGTTTCCCTCTGGTATTAATAGCCTACAGAGGTATAACACCTTAGTCCTCAGGAATAGCAACGCATGGGGGGTATCATGGGTGAAACAGTCTACTCTATTATGCCCATAGTACTGCTCATGTCTAGAGGTAACGGCTACCACTTTCCATCAGGTGGCCCACCTGGTCAGCTTGTTTGCCATTCTAAGTTGCATAAAAAAATCATGCAACACCGGGACTGATGGCTAATATAAAATAAATAGGTACAATAATGGTCAGTAATATACAACATAGTGCTACGTAGTCTTTTATAAAGAGAAATTAATTAGAATTTGCATTATATTGGAACTTACACCATGTTCAAAATCTCCTGGAGTTCAGGGCGTGTGACGTCACGGTCATTGAAGAATTCGGGCACAGCTGTGCGCATAGTGAAGTACATGTCCAGTTTGCGCTTGGTCTTCTCCAGAGAGAACTTACAGCCACGAAGGAAGGTCATGATCCGCTGATCATCTGCAGGAATAATGATATGTAATGGAATATGAGATACATAGTTTAACTATTCCGATAAGAAAGATCGAATATAACTTGAAAGAAGATTGGATAAGAAGGATAGTTCCAATTGCCAATAATATAACCTGTCAGATCAATCTTCACGCGGTTCTCTTGATAATTACCATGGTTAATTTGTGATGAATACTTTACGATGAGCCAACTGACCTGTATTTATCTTTACTGGAATCACGCCATTAAATAAATTAGTAGAGACAGGTGCACCACTTTATCTATCTGCTGTCCAAAAAATGTGATATATTATTATGTATAACACATTTTTTTGGACAGCATATACTTTGCGTGCATTTACCTGGGTTGTAAAATGGGCTGTTCTTTAAAATTTTGCCCTTACACAAAATCATGGAAATTTTCAAAAAATCTAGCCACAAAATTTCAAAGACTGTCAATGTACTAGCAACTTCTCTTGTGTTGCAATTGTTAGCAACGGCAGCTCTAGCTTGAATAATAAAATCTTTACCTATTAAAAAATCCTTACCAAACTCATCAGGTAAATGGGGTTGTTGCTTGAGCCATTCTTTAATGTGTGCGAGGTCTGCGTCTTTGGTCTCTTGGTTTTCATTCAGCTCCTCCCTGATCTTCTGCCACATCTCACCAGTTGGCTGTTCTAGAGTCATCTTGGCTTTGACTGGTTCTGAAAACAAACGTTACATGTCTATTTAGAACGTACAATGTAAAATCTCAGCAAGTTACCTACTTTCTTAAAGTCCGATTTTTTTCAGTTTTTACGTACAAAATGTATTGATTTTTGATGACACAGTAGGTTCAAGGAAAGGAAGTAGAACGTGAGTCGGGGACAGCTTTATCCAATAGTGGAACACCATGGATGGATTTTTAAAGTAATAGAATTAATCATCATTATGTCAACCATTAATTGTCCACTCTTGAACATAGCCCTCCTCTTGAGGGGTTTTGCCAGTAATTGCCATACTTGGCTGGCATGTTACCTACCACCAGGTAGGCTTTGGCAATGTGTAAAGATAGACGCTACTGCCCATCCTCCGACCATTATGTTCCCTTAGTCGCCTTTTACAACACCCACGGAAAAGGGGAATGGGATTATTAGTAATGGGACTAGAGGCCCCATTGCTAAAAATATACCTTATCAGGTCGAACTCCACGCAGTTGCCCCTGGAAACCATCTTGATTGTTTTTTTATGAATTCATCACTATGGGCCAACTGACCGGCTTTCATCCTCACCTATCACCTCTTACTGGGGTATCAGTATATACCGATAGTGCTGGCAGGGTCACCATGCCATTTTCACCCAAAAAAAAACACCCGGGGGAAAAGAAGAGGTAGCCCATCTTATGTCGGAACCACATGGGGCTAACCCCATAAAATAACTCTAAAGTTATTTTATACATACATATATTGTGTCTCATCTCGAAAATTTCTCTATCGTCTATACTCGATTTACTATCGAATTACAACGTAAATTAAACTACAAGCCTGTAGCTTCATAGCAGAAATACATAATTTAACTGTAAGAATAATTAATTAATGAAATAGTGCATGCGATGATAATATACATAAACTTTTCATGGAAATGTTTTTTTTAAGGCAACGGGTATTAATTTCTTTTCATCACGTTTCTTTTTTGATGGGTGAAAATGGTATGGTAGCCCCGCCTGCGCTAACAGGATACGCTGGCGGAGCACCAGTGAAGGATAATAGATGAGAATGAAAACAGGCCAGTTAGCCCATCATGATGAATTCATCAGGAATTAACCATGATAGTTTCCAGGGGGAACCGCGAGGAGGTCGACCTGTTTGGGTATATATTGCTAGCAATGGGATTCTCAGTCTCCATTACTAACAACCCCTTTCCCCCCTTTTCATCATCTTGTTTGCTATTTTGTGTTGCATAAGAAATTTTGTTGGCATCTTTAAGGAAAACTAAAAAAAAATATGCTGATATCAGGGCAGTGTAATTTTATTAAATTTTTTTTAATAACTACTTTCGTAGCCTTAATAGATTCTAAGTAGTATTTTTATCTATTGACAAAGAAAAAATTACTTCTAATATTGAGAATAATTATATTGCACCATTTAAATAATAACATCTCGCTAGTATACAGCAAGACCCCATAATTTCATTTCACAAGCGTCGATTTACGCCATCGTTTTCCATGGACCTTGACGTTGCGTTGCGTATGCGCAAATGCGAATAATACGATGATTTATTTTATACTAATTTCTTTGTGCAAGTTTTTTATGCTACTTCCAAAGCGAATGTGTTTTTTTAATAGGTAATAGAATGGTTACTCCGCCTGCTCTATCGGTATATGCTGGCGAGGCTCCAGTGAGGGATGATAGATAAGCATGAAAGCAGGTCACTTAGCCCATCGTGATGAATGCGACAAGTGTTTAAAATAACAATGGTTTCCAGGGGGAACTGCGTGGAGGTCGACCTGACAAGGCTTGTTAGTAAATTCTTTTCCGCTATAAGCGAATGTGGTTCGGGCATAGTGGGAACAGTGTCAGGTGAAAGGTTGCTAAACAGATAAACAATGCAAATATGGATAAATATAGGTACCAGAGAAGACCTAGATTAACATATTATGGGCACGTAGACCGTGTTCTTTCGGAAGGACAAGTCAAGAGTTTCTGAGATCGACGTGCATGCATAAGACGAGTTAAGAAAGCGCAGGAAACAAGAGATGTATATAAGGACAGACGTCTTTAGCACTAGGTTCGAAATGATGATAGATTCAAATGGAAAACAAGCTGACAAAGCTTGATATGAAGTAATAACCTTTATAGATGTGAAAAGTAATAACCGAGCATCATTGATATCATAGAATACACTGTGACACCTGGAGTACCTTTCATACGTTGTTATGGACTACTGTGTACCCTATTTTATTGCCATATTCTACCCTTCTGCCACTTTCACTCTAAAAATTGAAACAGAATCATGCAAGCATAGACGCTTGGCGGTAGAAAGGAACACACGTGGAGGTATCTAAAAAGACGACTTTTGTATTTATAGTATATAATAGTCTTCAAGTCCAGCGTGTGGTCCAGGCATAGAACGGGCCACCCTTTCCATTTTCATAGGTATCGTAGGAACTTAATGGTCGAGGAAGGGCAGCACCGTCCCATTTAAAATATCACCAAAGTCTAACTGCGGTTGCTAATCCGCCTGCCTATCATGCCTGCCATGACAGCTACTGGCAAAACCCTCGTTTTTAGAACGGACGAAGTTACGGATAAAGCTAGCATATACATAAATAAATAAATAACTTCATCAAGAATTGCATCTCAATTAAAAAAAACATGCGCTATCTACGTTCTATGGTATTGGAATAGTAGATTAGAGTTGCCATATTAAAATGTTTCCTCAAAACGAGGTAGGTACATAATTTGGTAAGATCTTTATCATTTATTGAATTAATGAGCACGAATCTGTGGTGTAGTGTGATGCGATCATGTAGTCGGTATTAGAGCATAAGGATTTCACCAATACGTAACAGTTAAAATAACGTTGTTAAAAGTCACGCGACTTACACAGCGTAACGGTTTTCGTGGTAGCAAAAAAGTTATTTTAATGAGTTTTTTAACCAATTTAGCTTTCACCACAACATTGTTAAATAACGCCTTTCTAGTAATAATGCTCTGATTATTAGAATATATAATTTAAATTTATTTAAATTATATTATAATAGTGATATTTCATAAATACTGTAATTGGTATAAATGAAAACTTCATTGGTTCAAATTCCGATGCAAAAGATACCTACGTTTAAAACTGTTCAGAGTTCTAAGTCTTTTATGCAGATACCTTAAAGACAAGGCATGAGAATAGTATAAGAAGCAAGCGTCGGTTATGTCTTGATTGATTACATGATAATTCGAGATGTAATCACATAATACTTTTCCATTACCTTTAATACTGTTCTTTAAACTTTTTTCCATAAGAATCCTGTGTTCCTTACATAGTTTTCTATTTCGAAAAGATATCTATTCTATGTCATATTAAATAGACTTTTATGAGTTTTATCTTTAAGATTTAAGTATTATTAAACTTCATTATCTACTAAATGTAATATATTATTCACTGGTTTTTTTTTTTTTTAATATGACTTGCGTGTTAACACTAAATTTATACTAGCCAACTGATAAAAATGTATAAAATTTTTTAGTAACTGCATATATATCATGTAATGAAAAACATTCACTAATATAAACAGATATATTAATGAATTCAAATGTTTGTATTGTACGGGATTCGATTCCCGGTTTTCGATTCTAACTACTTTTTTTTACACAGGGGCAAACGAGCATACAGCTCACCTGATGGTAAGTAACTATCGCCGCCCTTAATCATCCGCAACACCAGAGGTATTGCAGGTGTGCTGCCGGCCTTTTAAAAAGGAATATGCTCTTTTATTGAAGATTAAGATGTCGTATCGGTTCGGAAATACTGCTACTGAAAGTTGATTCCAATGAATGGTTGTGCGTGAAAGAAAGTGCCTTGAAAAACGCTCGGTTGAGAACCGCCATTTATCTAGATAGTTGGGATGGAACTTTAGTTTGTGGCGGGTTGTACGGTGGTGAAAATCAGCAGCAGGTATTAATCTGAACAATTCTTCAGAGCACTTCCCATGATAAATTCGATAGAAAATGCACAGAGATACAACATCTCTACGCAGTTTTAGTGGGTCGAGTCGGACAGTAAGGCACTGATCATCAATAATTCGAGTCCCTCGGCTTTGAATGTTGTCTAACGGGAGAAGCTGGTACTGTGGCGCTCCTACCCATGGGTGAGAACAGTATTCCATAATTATTAGTAAATAAGACAGTGTGTTTAACCGGTTTACCACAAAAGTTGTATATTTAAATTAATAATTATGTACTTGTTTTTATGATCTATTTATAGCGTACAGTGCGGTTTTAGAGATATTTCCTCCCACGAGCGCTCAGGTTATAGAAAGAGCTCCCTGTCGAGGTTTTTCTAAGAGGCTACAGCATGGGGTCCTTCAAAAAAAGGATAAAGAGGTTCCTTCAGGGTCTGCAACGCGCGCGTAATACCTCTGGTATTGCCGGCGTTCATAGGCTACGGTAACCGCTTACCATCAGGTGGGCCGTATGCTTGTTTGCCACCTCAGTAGTATAAAAAAAAAGGCTACAGCATGGCAAGTTGTTAAACTAATCGCTGTATCTTTTGTTCTAGTGCAATAAAGAATATATATATATATATATATATATATATATATTTTATTGCACTTGTAAACTACATTGTTAATGCGTTCATAAATATTGTAAGCAAGGGTGAACTTATCTTTGACAAAGATCTCTTTCAGTCAACCCAAAACAGTTGGAAAGCACGTCGTTAGCAGGCAGCTAAAGTGCAACAACTATTTATACTCCGAATATGAATAACTAATCAATACATAAACAAATATACAAATAAACAGTTAATTGTGTTTTTTTTTTTAATTTTTTTTTTTCATCAAAATACAATACATCAAAATCAAAGTACAAAATGAAATTAAATGTATCTACTTTATAACACCAACGCCAAGTAATATGAGGGTAGTTTAGGCAACGAAAATGTTTTATGAATATGAATATATTTTATGTTTATCGTACCTACTCATAAATATTATGTTTTATATAATGTAAAGGTAATAATAGTATTATTAATTATATTTCCTTAATCTACAAAATATATGGATTTAAATGGATATTAATAAATACATATTGTATTAGAATGTTACATATGTATATTGCATTTTACTTGCTGATAATATATATAGCTTTCTATATGTGAAAGAATTTTTAAAATCGCTCTAATATCTCCATTATCTGTCTAAATATCCATTATAAAAAAAATCTAATCTTTACTCACCATAATATTCGTTTAGACATGCTTTTAATGGTCAAAATTAGAGTCTTCACCAATTCTATTGATGGCCTGAAATTATATATTATTTTCCTATGTAATTGTCTATGTAACACATTTCGTACCGGTTGTTGAACCGTATCTAACGATGTCTAAATGATACACGTGCGGAAGTCACGTAGAATATTTTTCGCTTTATTTGTATCAAAGATATTTTGCTATTGTTATGCCAGTAGTGTTTCATTGGTGTTTATTATATTGATTCATTTCATTATTGATCATGATTCATTTGCTGATTGGTATATTTGATCTTTTATTTATATTTTATTTTTATTTATATTATATTATTTACAGGGTACAGAGGAATAACACCTAAGTCCTCAGGAATGGCAACGCATGGGGGCTATCATGGGGGAAACAGTATACTCTGTTATATCCATGGTACTGCTCATGTCTATAGGCGACGGTTACCACTTTCCATCAGGTGGGCCGTCAGCTTGTTTGCCATTCTAAGTCGTATAAAAAATAATATAATGGGTCACTCCTTCCTTTCCCGTGAGTGTAGTAAGATGCGATTAAGTTCGTACGGGTAGATAGAATTTTATAAAATAATATAATACTAATATATATTTATAGACATACATATATAATATATGTATGTCTATGTTACTAGCCGATAATGTAGCTTCGTATAGGTGAAATAATGTTTATGCAGGCGGGGTTATTCCATTATCACCCATTAAAAAAAATGGACGCCACAGAATATACTGTGGCACCCATGTATTTGTCATATAGGCAATTAATATAAAACATGATTAGGATTCAGTTAAACATCTTAAATCGCTGTGTAATCCTAACATAGAATAGGCCACCCCTTCCTCTATCGTGGATGTCGTAAGAGGCGACTTAAGGAACTTAATGATCCAGGAATGGGAAGTACGGTCTCTCTTAAAACTTCACCAAAGCCTAACTGCGGTTGCTAACCCGCCTGCCAAGTATGGCAACTACTGGCAAAATCCCTCAATAGGGGAAGGTTTATGTTCAGCAGCGGATAGTAACGGCTGATATCATCATCATTATCATGATTAGGATTCAGTAAATCATCTTTTTTATATGCAACTTTGAACGGCAAACAAGCTGACGGCCCACCTGATGGATAGTGGTAACCGTCGCCTATAGACATGAGCAGTACCATGGACATAACAGAGTATACTATTTCGCCAATAATTCTCCCCATGTGTTGCCATTTCTGAGGACTCGGGTATTATTGCTCTGTACCCCTGTAAATTCACGCCATATCCCATCTTTCAAACCGAAACACAGCCATGCAAACATAACTACTTCACAGTAGAAACACGAATGGGATAGAGGTGCCCAAACAAACGACTTTTGTACAAAGTCTCCCTCTGGTTCTTAAATGGCGTCGTAAACTACTATAAATAATAAGTTCGATGTCTCTACGCAAATAAAGTTTTTGTTTACAAAGACAGCAATTTATTTTAGGTCAATAATATACATATAAAAAAAAAAATTTCTAAAAATGCTTCGGTAAAACTGCCCAATGTTTAATTAAAAAGTATCGCTTTTAAAATTGTATTAATTTTGTTATATGTTACTTTTATCAAATAAACCGCTTTCGTTTTATCCATTTCATTTAATTACATTTATTTCAGACATTAGAACATCCAAAAAAGAGGTTAAATATTTGAACAATCTGTGTGAAAAGCGCTGCGTTTGTTTACAATTGGTTGACTGTTTTTGAGATATTTTTTGGTATTCGGCGCTCCATCTAATCGTTATTTTGGATGTTTGTTAATCTTTTTACTCTATCTAGATATACAATTAGCGATTTTCCTCGGCTTCGCATGGTTTTTTTTTAATAAAATTGATCTCATGTTACTGGCTGATAATGTAGCGTTATATAGATAAAAAAATCTTTTAAGTTTTTATTGAGTGTATCCACTGCAATAAATTTAAATCTTCCCTCTTTTTTATATTAGTATTACCATTAAGTATATAATAAAATAAAACTTGTGGATTTTAATTTATCAAATTCCAAACAATGCCAAAGATATAAATAGGTAATAACAATAAATTAATGTTTGTAAAAGGTTTTAATTTAATATAATACAATTTAATATAATTTGTGTACAATAAAGAATAAAGAAAAGAATCTAATACTTTAATACATTTGAATATTTAATATATTTAATACCATGATTACAGTTTCTGCACATTTATTTATTGATTTATTTATTTTAGCGGTTTTTATTAAGAAAACTTACTCGGAAACTTTCTAAATAGGAAGATTCTTATTTCGACTTGACGTACACGCGATACATCTATGCGATATCATTGTTAATTGTGGGACGAGGATTCTATCTTCAATTAAAAAGATCAATTCTTGTATTAGTCACATACAATTTTTACCAAGTTCGTTGCTTTTATTTTATAAGAATCTCTAAAATTATTAAATTCAATTTTTTTCATTCGGTTTTACTTAAAGATGAATCGGATTCAGCCATAATTTAATTCGTTCCACTGTACTCTTTATCATTTACTTGTTTAAGTATCTTACCAAACAGACATCCACAATCACAACACTAAAACACCCATAAAAATAAAAAAAAGTAACAATCACCTTTGAATTCGAATATCAAGTCACACGCCAAACTTTCAACGATAAAAACACTGGCACTTGAACGCAACGTGTTTGAGTTTTTGAAAATCACTGTATGAAAAAAAAAGTTAAAATTTGAAATCTATGGAATATTCTTTTTTCAAATTCGCAGCGCGGGCAAACGCGCTCTTTCGAATGAGTCCGATTCAGCCAGTGGGCTCCTTTTATGATTTCGTCACGCGATGTGAACGCGGCTGCAATTGCATTTGGGGGGAAGTAGCTGGGGTGTGTAGAATTAGACATAAGGTTTAGAGCTTCTTCACGTGTTTCCTTGGTTTATAAAAGTAAACTAAAGTATTTTCTTCATTTTGTCGGTTTTTTTAAATCGAGTTTCTCTGCCGGCATTAGTGACGGATGACGGATGAGAATGAAAAAGGGCCACGAAATTAATAAGAAATAATCACGATAGTTTCTAGAAGAACCACGGTCGAGAGTTGTTGTTAACCATAGAGTATATTATGAGCAGATAGCCTCCGGAACTGATAAAAAAAAACCCTTCTCAATTTTATTGTATATACCAAATTAAGAGTCGTAATTAATTTAAAATCCATGAACGATGTGGAACAATTGTACATTTATTTCCTTCAATCAAGACAATGCTAATTTTGTATGAACAGTAAAAATATTAAAATTATATGTGGCCAGTATTTAAAAAGGATTAGCATAAGACGTTAAATAATTATTTTGTCAGTTTTAATTTAGATTTATTATTTTTATTTGAGTATTTTACCAGAAGGAGACTTTGTACAAAAGTCGATTGCTTGATTACCTATGTCCCATTCGTGTTTCTACCTTGAAGCAGTTGTGTTTGCATAGCTGTGTTTCGGTTTGAAGGGTGGAATATGGCGTGAATTTACTGGGTACAGAGGAATAACACCTGAGTCCTCAGGAATGGCAACGCATGGGGGGTATCATGGGCGAAACAGTATACTCTGTTATGTCCATGCTACTGCTCATTTCTATAGGCGACGGTTACCACTTTCCATCAGGTGGGCCGTCAGCTTGTTTGCCATTCTAAGTTGTATTAAAAAAAAGATTTTAAATTAGAAACTAAAAGGAGATTTCTTTATTACTACTGACTACAATGTGGTACAAAAAGCAAGTGTAATGTGTGTAAATTTCAAACAGTCAACATTTGAAAAATGCAGAGATACTCGAATAGAAGACATTTAGTGCAGAAGTTATGTGTAAAAGTTATCTGCACTTGTGTCCCACACGTTGCCCCAATTGACTCATTGTTTAAATTTTACGCTATATCAAAATCACAAACTTTACATTCACCTTATTGGTAGTTAGGCAAACGGATATCGAGAGACCTAATGTAAATTTGACTTAATATTATGCATGCATAACGTAATGCATATGTTCATGTAATAACGGAGTAAAAATGCATATGTCATCACTTCTTTTTTACCAGGATGTCGTAAAAAGCAAAGAAATAATCATCATACTGGCGCAAGAGGAATGATAATTTAAAATCGTGTTCCAAAAAATAAAACCGACTGCAATTCTGTTAGTAATTTTGATTTAATAACTAAACTACTCAATTGATTTTGATAAAATTTCTATAATCCAACTAATCTGTAACGATATCTTTTTAGATTAAAAATTATTTATTTATAGGATCACCAACATCAGGTAAAACGAAGTATTACAATACACTAGTGGATTTTTTTTGATGGGTGAAAATTGTATGGTAACCCACCCCGCCTATGCTAACGGGATACGCTGGTGGAGCACCAGTGAAGGGTGATAGATGAGAATGAAAACACGTCAGTTAGCCCATCATGATGAATTCATCAGGAATTAACCATGATAGTTTCCAGGGAGAACCGCGAGGAGGTCGACCTCGTTGAGTGTATTGCTAGCAATGGGATTCTTAGTCTCCATTACTAAAAATCCCTTTCCCCCCACACTAGTGGATTAGGTCTAACCATTCTTATATTTAGAGGCAACTACATCTTGTTTTGTGTTTGAGAAATATTAAAATGGAAGAAATCTTAAATTAATCAGAAACTAAACGTTATGAAGTTTTCCTTTATACCACAAAAGTAGCGAACAAGTATACATTTTAAAATGTTTTGTATTTTGTGAGGGAAATAAAGAAAATAAACAAAAAAAAAAATAACAATACACGCGAGTTGATACACGGGGAACAGCTAGTTTGAAGTATGATAAAACGGAGACATGATAGCTAAAAATCTAATTTGATGGCGTACCTGACAAAAAATGTATGCGTCATCTATGTACCGGTGTAGGAGACCAGACAAGAAATATGAAACCAAATTTTCTATTTACTGCATGTAAACTGGAAGAATTTGTTGAGAAAGTAGGTATTTTTATATCGTCGCGTTTTATATGAACACTAGCGATCTGCCCGGCTTCACTCGGGTAGATAGGGATTTAATTTAGTATTTTGTATTAGCTTTAAAAGGCAAATTTTTGATACCATGAATGGTAACGATTTGTATAATGAGTTTTTCATTTTTTTGAAAATAATATAGATCCTATATTACTTGCTGATAATGTAGCTTTGTGTAGGTAAAAGAATGTTTATTATCAGTTAAGTAGTTTTTGAGTTTTTCCATTAGAAATAAACATACAAAAAATCAAATCTTTTCTCTTTATAATACTTCTATTACGCATAGATATAAAAGACATTGTAGTGTGGTCCCGGTATAGGATGGACTACTCCTTTCTTATGAGCGTTGTAAGATGCAGTTTTTACCGTGAAGCAGTTATGTTTGCATGGCTGTGTTTCGGTTTAAAGGGTGGGAGTGAATTTACAGGGTACAGAGGAATAACATCTGAATCCTCAGGAATGGCAACGCATGGGGAGTATCATGGGCGAAACAGTATACTCTGTTATGTCCATAGTACTGCTCATGTCTTAAAGCGACGGTTTCCACTTTTCATCTTGTTTGTCATTTTAAGTTGCATAAAAAAAAGGCGACTAAGGGAACCTAATGATCGAGGAATGGCGTCCCCCTTAAAACATCATCAAAGCCTAACTGCGGTTGCCAAACTGCCAGCCAAGCGTTGCAACTACTGGCAAAATTTTCCTTATGGGAAAGATTATGTTCAGCACTTAACGGCTGATAAAATAATAAAAATAGAAGATCAAGTCGGTTTCTGAAATGGTGTCTGATGAAGTTGACAGAAATCCCTGAATAATAATGTCAAAATTGTAATAATAACAGTAATTGGACAACCTCCGTGGTACAGCGGCAGTCACGTTCAGTCAGTATAAAGAGGTTCCGGGTTCAATTCTCGGTCGGACTAATTTAGGAAAAAATCTAATTTTGGGTGTTTAGGTTCGTAAACCCGTTACTCATAATACAAAAATGAGAAAGAATTCGTTACCAGGTTTTTCATGACGCAGAAAATCCTTAAACTGAAATCGGTTTTTTTTTTTTGGGGAACGCAATTTTATTATTTTAATGCAACTTAGAATAACAAACAAGCTGACGACTCACCTGATGTAAAGTCGTAACTGTCGCCTATAAACATGAACAGTACGCTGAACATAACGGAATATACTGTATCACCCATGACACCCTTTATGCGTTGCCATTCCTGTTTACTAAGGTATTTTTAAATATGCTTTTGTACCCTGTAATTTTATTGCCATATCTCTCGCTTGAAACTGAAAAATAGCCTTGCAAACAACTGATTCAGAGGCAAAAGCAGACGACTTTTGTACAAAATCTCCTTGTGGTATATTTAAATATTTATTTATTTATTACATTAATCTCATATGGATTCATACTACATAAACAATTATAGTGCTGTGTGATCCCGGTATAAATTAGGCCACCACTTTCTTTCACGTGGGTGTTTTAAGAGGCGACTAAGGGAATTTAATAATAGAGGGATGGGCAGCAGCGTCCCTCTTGAAACATCTCTAAAAGCCTAAATGCGGTTACCAAGCGTGACAACTACTGCCAAACCTCCTCTTATGGGGAAGGTTTATGTCGAACAATGGGCAGTTAATGGCTGAAATGAAACAATTGTAGTACAAATAGACACATAAGTACCTTTTAAACATTGTAATGTTGGTAATATTGATATAACTGGTAATATTACAAATCTTTAATTTGAAAGATTGTAAAGGTCGAATAATAAATAATATTTATCCGTTATTCGTGTTTCAACAATACAGTTGTGTTTATTTTCATCTAGATGGCGCTGCATCATATGTGCAAAATTTATTAATGTATTTATTTCAATTATGACAGAATTAATTAGTATAAAACCATCTTTAGAAAAAGGTAACACTGTTAACTATAAAAATAATCAATAAAACAGGTACAGAATTGGCATATATACCACGTAACATACAACAAACAAACAAACAAAAATATACCTATATGAATTGACAGGTTCCTAATTTTTTTTGTACTAGGTATGTCAATGCGCCTTTTATTCCAAATTCAAAACATTTGAAGAAAAATACAAGAAGCCGGAGCGAAAGTACTAAACCAAGGTCGTAAGTAATTTTCTTTTGCATCACTCATTTTTAGGGCATGCAGCCACTGTACACTTGCACGCCACTCTCTTACGAAACGCATATGCACTTATTGCTGAAGCGGTAAGGTTCATTATTGAAATGTAAATTCGTTGGACGTTAGAATACTTCGAAGAACATAACGTGTAATGCTGGGGCTAATGACCGTGAGTCACCGTTGTGGTTGTTATGGTCTAGGTGACTACTTATTGTGTGCCCATTGCTAAGCGACTTTAATAATATAAGAATTCGCTCCAATCCAATAGTTACTACATTATAGAATAAGCAGAGTTTGCTTAGAAAAGAAAAAAATCAAGTTCGATTGTGGCAAGACTAGTAATTTTGATTTAAACACCAAACTATTGAATTTGTTTTTGATGAAATTTTTAAGAAAATAAAAGAATTTTCCAAATCGGTTTATAAACGACGGAGTTCTGAAGTAACAAACATAAAAAATACAATTAAATTAAGCGCTTGATCCTTTTTTAAACTCAGTTTATAAATGTAAATTAACTGAGAATGGAGCGGATGGGCAGCAGCGTCCCTTTTAAAACATAAGGCAAAATTCCCCTAGGAAGAGGCTAATGTTCAGCAGTGGACGGTTAAAAGCTGATATGATGATGA